CACACACACGCACAGACGCACACACTGCTGTGGGATAAGTTCAAAGTCCAGTCGCAAGAGGGTGAGTGTCCATGCGCCGTCCAATAACGGCGCGCGCTGGTCAATAACGGCGAATCCTGCCGGTTGTGGGTTGAACGGGGGTCACACACACAGAGACAGGAATACCTATTCCTGCACACAGGTATGTGACGTGTCAGAGGAGAAACGAGCCGTTCACATTTCTCTGTTTGTGGCAGGTAACGGTCCACAAACCTCACCGCACTTTAGGGACTGTTCTTTACTTATGGAGGGACTGTTCTTTACTTGTCAGGGGAGGAGGGTGGCTGGTTGATTTTTATTTTATTTATTCATTTTATTTTGATCCCCCCTATGTGTTCATCACTGATTGATGCTGTTTTTGAAGTATGAATAAGTCAATAAGTAATTTATTCCATTGAAATATCATTGATGTATTATAGAAAAGTGATTTATCTTTTTATAAATGACAAAAAGCACATCTGCCTCATTTTTGCCGTGGTGTCGTGATACTACTCAGAACCATGATACTTTCACTGGTATTGGTTTTGCGGCGGGCGCCGAAAAATTTCCCTTATTTTCAAATCTAAAACTTGACAGGTATGCTCTCATGTGACAGCGTCACCAACCCAGCTCTGGCATCCTGCCACATACCTAGAAGCTGGGTGGCCTGTGCAGGCTGGAGACTGCACTTTTTCTCCTGAATGTGATCCAACAGCACAGACACATGATGGCAGCACTGCTCCTCGGTCTGTGGGGTCTCTCCTGTCTCACCTGCGTCAGTCGGGAGCGGATCTGGGTGATCCATCTCCGATGAGAGTTGACATTTTCTGTTTCTCCTTGGCATTTCCTCAGAATCACTTTGAGATGAGGATGAGGATGGAACTTTCTCCTCAACCCAGGATGAGTCACTTTCATCCTCTTCCTCATCAGATTGATCACCAGCATCTGAATTGGCGCTGTCCATTTCCTGAATCAGTTTCCAGGCTTCCCTTCTGTTCACACATTATTGATTCCTCCAGTTATCGACACTTACTTTAGTATGACATGTTAAAAAATCGGATCTGTGAGTGAATTCTCTCCCGGAGTTTACCTTTTGACAGAGACAGTGATAGTTGCCTAGCAATCAAGATGCATCTGCTGCCATAAATTGATCAATTTATCATTATGACCTCCTGTGGCCGAAATAGGTAGAAATGATCACATTTTTAATGCCTTTTGTCCAATTTGGTTAAATGACGGTTTAAATAATAATACAGACATTTTTAGGAAAAGTCAGGAACCAGCAGCACTGTAACTTTTAATTCAATTCAAGTTCTATGACAGGGCTATTCAATTTCAATTTCATCTGGGCCGGATTTTAAACCAGATAATGGTCTACATATATATAGCTTATATATAAGCCTATACACACACACACGCATTCAGAAACAGAATAAAAAACAGCTATCACTGCACAGAAGCATAATAAGTAACATTAACAGTATCTAACAACACACTCTATCTCTCTACCAGCATCTCCCTCTCTCCTCTCCTCCACACACACACACACACATGCACACACCTCACCTCCTGATGCTTTCCTTATAGGTCAGCTACACAGGATATAGTTTTATACAGTCCGTGGCAGCAACAGTCATGTTTACAACAACAAAGTCACGATATAAACTCAATAATGTCTCAGTGGAAACAAATCTAACATGTGATTAAAATAAATATTCCTCCTGACATCACAATACTGAGTGAAGAAAGTCACGTTATCTAAACATGAAGAACACAGATCTGTGCAGATCTGACCGTTGTTGACACTGAGGATGATGATGATGAGAGCTTCAACTTAAAAGTCATCATGGTACCATCACAGACAACAGAGTCATCTCAGTTGAGAGTGGACCAAGTTCGTCCATTTGTGGAGAGGTTTTTCCAGCAGCTGTCAGGAGTTCAGCTCCAAAAGCTGAAGGATGGGAAAACTGATGAGGCCACCAAAGATATGTTGGCGGAGCTGCTCGTGGATCTGATAGTGTACCTGACTGACTCCACCATGACAAATGTGGCAGGAAATCAATCGGTCACCGAAGAGAGCGTTGCGTCCACACTGGGCAGTGTAGTCCCTGAGGCTTTTGCTCAGGCTCTGGGCGTTAATGTTCAGGATCCAGGGGTCAGCTCTCAGAGCCTTACCAAGATGATGTCTGAGGAGATTTCCAAGAGCATCAACTCCTCCATCTACAGGAGCCGGGACAAGAAGAGTCGGTTTAGGTTTCAGACTCACAGACTGACTGACATGATCAAACACGCTAGCTCCATGATAACATCATTCATGGGCAGCGTCAGTTTATGTCGCAAAATAACATGTGCAGATCTGAAGGTTGTTGACCCTGTTGGTGCTGAACCTGTGCTGCATGTAACACCAGACAGGGATTTGCAGACAGAGAAAAACAAACTCTCTGTCCAAATTCTTGTTGAAAAGCTGGTTACACGGGTCTACAAGAAAGCTAAGGTCAGCATTAACTTGAACGACCCCCATATCATCATCGACCGCCTGTCCAAGAAGATATGGGCTGAAGTCCAGGGAGGTGATTTTGATATCACCCCGGAAACTTTTAAAAGCCTGGACAAGGCAGTTTTCAAGGACCTCGTTGAATTCTGGGGCTATGCAGAGCTGGTTCTGGTTTCTTTGTATCAAGAACAACCAGAAATTGATCATACAGTCTGCACCTTTACACGTCACCTTATGACACCACAGAGAAAAGGTAACGCCATCTGCAGGTTCTTTTCCAGTCTGGGCAAAGTGATCTCCAAGCCCTTTACTTCAACCTGCAGGGGGGTCTCCCCCTTTTAGGTGACGTATAATAGGATTCATGCTGGAGGAAAAAATTGGCGTGAGGCTTTTTTCCTTCAACATGAATTCAATAGAGAGCTCATGTCCTGCCTCCCATCCCATCCAGGTGACCTCTAGGTTACCTTTTGGACACATGTGAGACAGGAGGAGGACAAGAGGATAAGCGGTTAGAAAATGGATGGATGGATGTGGCAATGATCAGTATTAGTCTGTCTGACTGCTGAGTGGATGTTGTCACGTTTTCCATTACTAAGTCATCTTGTTCTTCACACACGATCTTTGTTTGGATCAAAAGGAAATTTCTGGCACCGACAGCACATGACAGCCACCGTCGGTCTGAACCTAAAAGCTCCGTGAAGTGAACCGGAACATAACAGGAAGTTAGACAGTTTGCCTTCAAATTAAAAGCGTAGAAATTGTCATTTAAAACGTGACTGATTTGATCCATCAGCTCGAGACCATTCTTTAAAAATGTATATTTATTTATTGATGTTTTTTCCCAAACACAGAGCAGTCTGCAAAAGAAAACACAGACTTGAAAATTAAAATAAGTAATAATTCCACAAGATAGGGCCCCCACCACCAGACCAAGGGCCATATTAAAAGTAATGGCATCAAATATTAATAAAATTCAGTTATACATGTCTGCACACATGTTAATGTGCACATATGAAACATATCTAACCCACAACAGACTGTGAAGTATTTCCCATGTAGCTCCTTATTCTGGTGCTGTATATGAGGAAATGTCTTTCAGCCACATAACAATAATAATAATAATAATAATAATAATAATAATAATGATAATAATACATTTTATTTATAATGCACTTTACATTCCGGGGAATCTCAAAGTGCTATGAAACACATGATAAAAACAACAGTGTGGACACATAATGACTGCAAGGTTATGTATCTTGGAAATATAAATGATTATGTCATAGATTATGGTAGATATGTAGCCAAGATATAATTCATCATATGCAAGAAGGCAATAACAAGGAACTAGTACAAGACTGAACCTGTTACAAGAAAACAATTGGTTGGATACTAGAGATTTATACTATGGGGGAAAGAAAATGAAAAAATGTACAAGTAAATATAAGAACTAGATGATTTATTAGTCAGTGGAAAAAACATTTTGACTAACTGGCTTATGAATTTCAAGATCCTGTATACGCACACACCCTTTTAGTTAAAAATGGACATCTCTTTGCCTTTCTGGTAAGTTATTATAATAGCCTACTTGTGGTTGTATACACAAACTAAAACTCAAGAAACATTAAAGTAAAAAAAAAAAAAAGACCGAAGACAAGGATCATAATTCAAAACAGTAAGAGTTTAGAAAAGTCGACACTTACCTCTCTTGCAGTCCTGCTAGAGTTCCTTTTTTCCCGTGACAAGAAAAATTAAAGTAGGCCTAATTTATAAAGCAGTGACTGTTTCTCCACTTGCTATCTGCAAGTGCTGCAATCTGCAGCTTGTTGTTTTTGGGAAGAGGGATGACACGTGTATGTGTCACCTGGTAACGTTAGCTCAGGTGAACAGGGGAGCTCATGACCTTTCTTGACCTGTGAATAATAATAATAATAATAACTTTATTTATATAGCACCTTTAAAAACAGAATTTACAAAGGGCTTTGACAAACAAAGCAAAAAGCGGAATACTCAGGGGCAAATAACAACGAAAAGTCAGGCAAAACAGAGGCAAGATCAAATTGGATAAAACAGAGAAAATAGAGGGCAAAGCCATGAAAATTAAACACACAAATGTCATGGTAAAGACAAATGAGAGTAAGACCAGAAGGATAGAAAATATTTTTTTTAAAAAAATTAATAAATACAAATAAAAGAATGACGATGATAGGGCAAAAAAGATAGACTCATTAAGATAAATAAATGAATAAATTAACAGATAAAAAATAAGGTTTAAAATCTAAAATAGAAGGGAAAATAGTAGTTAATGTGCCAAATGATAATAATAATAATAATAATGATGAGAAGAAGAAGAAGAAGGATAAAAAAAAAAACCCCGGATCATTTCCGGCACACCTTCTAAGTAAACAAAATGCTTTTATATTGAAAGGTTACCCGGAAGCGTCAGTGAGCCTGTCATAGTGGACTCTGTTCTGTCACAAAATCGCTCCGCGGTGGGATTTCACGGAAGATGCTGAAGAAACGGGAGCTGCTGGTAAGTTTAACAGTTACTGACTTTGATTTTTAAAATTGTGACGCGTTAAAGGACCGACTCCGGATCACTGTTCACGGAACAACGACATCTGTAACACCGATACCTGTGGAGTTAGGAGCCCCGCCGCGATGGGAGGCAGCCGGGCGGCAGGTTTGTTGGGTAGTTTACCTCCCGGAGTGGAGCTCTGTACTCTGCTGTTAGCCTGCTGCTGTCACCGGGGCGACGCTAATGTTAGCCGGTGACTAGACGTTGTTGTTTGTTGACATGGTGGTGGACGAGTCGGCGGGGTGTGTTGGTGTTGTTGGCCGAGTTAAGGTGCCCAGTTTCGGGCTTTCTCTCTGCTCGTCCTTGTTATGGCTCATCGAACCTGTTAGCTAGCCGGCAGCGGTGGTAGCTAACAAGCTAACCGTGGCTAACATCAACATAAACGTCCTGTAGGTGTGTGTGTGAGTGTGTGATGCCGTGATAGTGAGGGTTATACTATCGGTGGGATTATTACAGCAACGATGCGTTTGTCTTATCACTGAAACCAGCTCAGGGATTGCAGGTGAATTTCAATTAGCTTATTGTTTTCTTCTCACAGCTAGCTTCATGTCAACATGACATAATGGTATGAAATAATACAACCTGAAATTCTATGACATGAAACAGAAAAGATGCTCCTCTCTACTTATCTGGGCTGTGTTAGTCTTCTAGGTTTAATTTAAACGTGCCTGATTTATCATGTAGAGTATGAAGCAAATATCCTTTAAGTTTTAATGTAAATTATACCATGTAAATCATGTAAGGGAGTGTTCTTAATTTACCAGAGCAGGGGTTGCTTTTTTGGGTGACCCTTCCTGCAGCTACAGATATTTTTACCTTGAGCTTTCCTGAGTGCATGACCCTCCCTCCATCATACAATCAATAATTAGATTTTTAAAACTTACCCTTCTGATATTTGAAATTTATCCTGGAGTTGAAAAAAGCCTTGCTGTTTCACTCTTGTCATGCTGGTTAGTTCATGCAAACTGTTTATTTTTAGCCGAATTTCAAATGAGATGTTGAATAAAGTGATTTTGCTGAAATATTAATATTTTAAACTCAGATTTGTTTTGTTTTTGTTGATGTTTTTTCTTGATGGAAGTTTGTCTCACATAATGTGTTCAAGGACTGTCAGAAATTTGGAAATCCAACAATAGTTTATAGCCCTTTTTAGACAGGAGTTGTGCAAATTTGCAGGAAAGCCCAATCAGTCTTCTTTCAGCATTGGCAGTATAAAAACAAAATCGGGGAGTGCAGAAAAATGCTGCTTACCTACTTTTGTTTATACAGAATGCGCCTTTTTCGGGGCAATGGGGGGCATGAGCAAGTAACAAAACGTGTAGCTCAGCGTGTGACGTAAACAGTGACGTGGGAGGGAAGCCGTGGCTGGTCCGTCGTAAGTCGCCCCGTCCTTCACCGTCCCCGTCATCTGACGGTTAATTGCCTCTTCGTTTGCGAGGACAAGGAGGGCGCGCAATTCCTTGTCTCCCCGGTTGCTCATCTTTACAGTGTCTGTCAGGTTTGCATTTCCCTCTTGCTACTAGCTGCTCGCTAATTCCTGCTATCAGCTGTTTCCTGTTAGTTCACCGCCAGTGGGTTGCACATGCGGCGTCATCAACAGCTCCTCCCACAAGTCTTAAACAGCCCCTCCCATGGCGGAAGGCCGCCTTGGTCTGTTTAAACTAAAAGGGTTCCACCAATATGTCTACACTACGAGGCAGAAAATTGGGCACCTCGGATCACCTCGCCAATCCGGCTCTGTGTGTCTTAACGCTCGCAGCTTGCCGGCAAAACGGCCCAACATTCGCAGAAAATCTGGCAGTGTGAAAGGGGCTTATGTCACCAGCAAAAGAGCTGGTTGTAAGTAATTTAGCGCTGCGGACCATTAACTACCAGCGAGATTAACAGTGTTAAAGCTTCACACATATGCAGGAAAAAGTGAATGTTAAAAGATCGATCTGGGATTTTAGAAATCGACAACAGGTCATTCAAGTGAAGATTGATTTGAATCAGAGGAATCGGTTATTTTAACTCAGCCCTACAAATAACATTATTGTTTTTATTTTATCTAGAAAAGCTCGTAATTAAAGACACTCATCAATCACACTTCTCACTTTACCTCATGAACTTGTCCTCAATTGCTCTTGTATAGTTCTTTTTTTAGTTCTCCTGTCATACTAGTTGTATCTACCACTTATTTTATTTATTCTCATTTCTCGTTTTGGACTTCTCTGTTTCTATGTGCTTTCTTCTGTCTTTGTGGTCCTGCAACACCTTAATTTTCCCTCTGGGGATCAATAAAGACTTATCTAATATTTTCTTACGCACATTAACTTTTTAAAGTTTGGAATCTTCTGCCAACATCGTGGGGACATCGATTAAATGAAAGTTTAAATCATGCAATTCTTCTTGTGGGGCCAAAACTGTTTCAGAGTGAAATAATACTTTTGGTGTCCTAATTATAGTTTTTATGTCTCTTAAAATAGCCCTTACTGCAGGAAAGATGGTAAACAACAGTATAACCACTGGTTCCCAGTGTAGGTCTATCTGAAAGAAACAGAAAGGATCCCCTACTGAGCTGTTATAATGACATACTGTGCTCAGGATAAGAGAGTAAAGAATCCTCTAGAGCTTTACACAAGCCAGCCTGGAGTTCGAGAAGAATCGATGAGAATCCTTTTGAATCCCTGATGGCATCCATCAGGTTCAGCTGTCATGTGACGTAATGTTATTAATTGGGCGAGAATTCAGAATCACTGCACTTTTGATTGGCAGCTTAATTAAAAGTTAGGAGCTGCGGTGCAAGAGTTGAATGGTTATTTGAATCTTAATATGACGCTACTACTACTGTGTTTACTTTAGGGATTTAGCAGCCTTTTCTCTGAATGAGGACGCTCTGTATTGAGACGAGACAAGCAGCACAATATAGTAAATGTTTACTAAAATTTCAATGTTGAAACAGGCGTGTTGACTGAAACAGCTACAACAATGGTTGCTTGATCCAAATGACAGAGGTCCTGGTTTAGAGCCAAGCTTTGATTATTGATTTGATATGAATTCCCAGGAAAATTCAGACACGTGAAACTGAAGGTGATCAGCTGATCATCTGTTGAACTCCAGAAGTCCTGTTGTGACCCTGTAGTGATGCTTCAGGGTGTTGTTTCGCATCCTCACAATGGTTGGCTGAGCGCAGACATCAGCGTGCAGAGAGCAGATAAACCCGGCTGAAGTGTAATTCTGGACTTGGTCAAGATACTGATAAAATTAGCATACATTAATTACCTGCAGCTCTACGCTGTCAGTGTGATGTCAACGGCAGCTAAAAATGATTAGCTGCTAAATGTTTTTGTACTTTGTTGCTTGAGATGACGAGAGATTAAACATTTGGTAAGAGATTCGATAACCTCTGAGTGAAGTGATTCCTGGTATTTTATTAAACTGGGCTGTGATGGATCAGTGTTTTTTGGGTAGGAAGGTTAAAAGTGACCCAGACATATCTAAGTGGCAGTCATGATGAGAGCTGTTGGAGTAGAGTGCTTTTGGGATGATGTTTTTCTGCAGGTCGCCCTGGAAATTACGTCTTCCTGGTTCCTGTGTCAAAAAGCCTATGGGGTTTTACTGTTGTATTTTGGATTATTGCACAGAATTAGCTCTTTACAAACAAATGTTTATCATACACGCTTTGTTCAGCAACATAATCTTCACAAATAAACACGACTTTTGTGATTTTTGAGGCCTCAATGCAATCGCCTGAGGTAAAAAGGTAACATTAGGCTGTAAACAAACTACACCACGTCACCACAACGAGGCTGTAAAGCAGTGTTTAGTTTGACATCTGCTGACATATTTTATGTGGTAGAACAAAACGTGACCGTCTCTTCAGCTTGTGTTAACCACTGACCTTATTTCAGGCATCAAACCGGAATCAGTTAGTAATAGAAATAAAACACTTCAGTTTAAACAGACACAGTGTGGATGGGCATGAGTACTGTAGTATTCAATTCTGATGTCAAGTACATTGACACTGTCCTATATTAAAAGTTTCATTTTGTTGTCTATGAATATCTTCACAGATCTATAAAGCAAAAATGACAGATCAGTGCAGCCGCAGTGTTTTCAGTCAAACGTCTCAATCTAACATTTCGGACAGAAAGATGAAAGATGAGGGATGTTTGGAAGTATTTTGACAAAGTATACTAAACATACAGTGCAGGCTACGTAACGTTAAACTCGCACATCGTAGCTGATCTCTGCAGTCTGTGTAGTCCCAGTGTAGTCTGGGCGTTCATTTTGGAACCTTTTCTTTCATTAGGTTTTTTTAATTTATTTATTTATTTATTTTTTTACAAGAAATCAAGTAATTGACAATAATTTAATGTGAGTACTCAAATATGGAAATGATTTAAAATGCCCATACTGAATAATGTATATAATACTGGGTACACATGAATTGAAATAAAATAAAGTAACACAAAACATCAGCTTAAATAAAAAGAAAGTAACATGAATGAAAACATTACATTTAGAGATGCATGATCATTGATTTTTTTGTCAATATCCGATATGCCAATATGTAACAAGTTATTCGGCTGATAATAGATATCGATATAGATTTATTTGCTTTTTTCCCACCTAATTTTAGTGGGCATCAAGTCTCTTCTCTAGTGGAATTATCATATTATACATGCATACTCATATTGTGACGGCCCACCAGCAGATGGAGACAGGAAATACAATACTTTTCGATGTGTGATGTAATAAGAAAAAGCATGTTGGCCGATTCTGATGATGTACCAATATTATCGTGCATCCCTCCATTACCCGCAGTTTCACCTAAGTGTTCACTTTGGACCCCAGTCTTATGTTATGTTGGGGTTTTTTGGGCCAGAAATCGAGTAGTTGATAATAATTAAATACGGGTAATTAATTGTGAGAATTATGTAAAATGCCCATCCTTAATAATATTTACATATATT